TATGAGGCTGCTTAGCTTCACTCCAGCCCTGTATGTAAAGTTAACTGCATGTTAGCCCCGAGTTCTCTAGGTCAGACTCTTTCAGAGTGTAGCTTTGCTCGTTCTTAAGGCTAAACCACTTCATCTAGTCCTAAAACAATTTAAATGTTGTTGTTGTGGCTCTTTTTTCTTTTTGTGTAGGAAAAAGGATGTCCAACTAAGGTAATGTTTCAGCAGAGAAATCTTCCTAACCCTCTCACTCCACCAAAAAAAGAAATGAAGAGGCCTGCTGTAATCTTGTAGAGGAACAGATTAAAAAAAAAAAGAAGAAGAAGAAGATAAGGAAGGATGCTTCTGCATGAGCAAGAGCAAGTCTTGTCCTACAATGGAGAAGTCCTTGTGTTTCAGCTGTCAGGACCAAAGCACATGGAAGGAGCAGCTGGAAAAACAACAAACTTATCTGTCAGAAGAATGGCCTTTGACAGAGACACTAAACTGTTTATCCAAAAGTCTTCTGGGGTATTCAGCATGCATGGCAATCCCTTAGAAGCTGAAATAATCTGTTGTAGTAGTACAACAGACTCCAGATCAGGACTGGTTCTTCCTTGTGTTTTGGTGAAAAAGAAAAAACGGAAAAATGTTCTCAAATATCTCCTGCTGCTACTTCACAGCTCCAACCGGTTTGAGCAGTGCTTTCATTTTAAACTGGATTACGAGCTGAGAGAAGACGTCAGGCTGTTTGCTGGCCCCTCGGTCCTGTGGAGACATGACAGCAGGCTCTTCCACGTCTCCCGCGACGCCTGCGCCGTGCGGAGCGCTCCTCTGCAGCTCTCTTCCGTTGTGTGGGCAGGGGAAACCGGCGAGGAAGGCGTCCTGGTCTTGGGAGTACGGGCTGCTTGCTCGCCAGAAAGCGAAGATGAGCCAGAGTTTTCCACCTCAGATGGAGCTATCTGGGGAAGTGAATTCTTTGCATATGCAATTGAAACACAGAAGATAATGAGTGGCACGAGCTTTATGCCTCATGCTTACAGCAGGGTGGTGTCTTCTGTCTGTGTCTGCAAGAACGAGGTATTGAGAAAACAACTCAGAATATCTCTTGTTGCTGTCACTCAGAAGAATCAACTTGTTTGGTTCCAAGATGGTCTCCCTAAAGGTGTTTGTGAGCTTCCATATGAGAAACCCTGTTCAGTAAAAACAGCTGTGACCACTAGCAATAACATGCTGTTTATCGTTTCATTTGCCTCTGGAAATACCTGTGCTATATGGAGAGACAGTTTCCAGGTATTTGTGACCTTAAGCAACTTCCTCTTACTTCTCTAAAATAATGCTGTTACGTTGTTTCTGCTAAAACAACCTTTATAAAGTATCCAACTGTGCTTTTATTACCTTCTCAGGTATCTGAAAGTGAATCTTGAATTCTAGTGCTTTAATTCATTTAACAATTTGTTTTCTGAATCCTAGTCAAAACCTCTGTAGTTAACCCACAATTTATTTTGGTTGAGAATTTACAGCTGAAAGTTTGTTTTGAGTGTGCTCACATAATATATGTTAGACTGATATGAAACTACTATCATTTCAAAGCGATACCTTCTTTTTGAAACTTGCCAGCTTTGTGATTCTCACTTTCTTGTTACAGAAAGTGTTATTTCATGTAAATGCCAAGAAAAAAATATCTCCCTTTTTTCTCTTGATTTTTTAGAAAGCTAGTTACCCACTAACATGGTGGATTTTTTGGTGTGTGGATATATATATATATATAATATATGTATTTTTTTAATAATAGTATTACTCTGTCAAGAAGGCTTATGCAGCTCTGAAAATTAAAAAAATTGCCCTACTTACTCCTCAGGATTTTGTGTGCCTAATTAGCTTACAGTGTCAGTTTTACTTCTCCGCTATATTTAGGTGTAATGCAGTAGAGAAATGTTGACTGTCCGAAGTGTGATGTCTTTAGCTCATCTCAAAATATTAACTGTTTTAGATGAAACTTTACAAGATTTAACTACGCATCTGTTTGAGTACACTAAAAAATTGCATTCTCCTTCATCTGGGAAACAAGCTGTAAAGAGCTAATTTAAGTGACTAAGTGAACTTTAAAGAGCTAATATATCCAGTTACACAGGCTGCAAATGATGGAATTAAGAACAGAACTTGAAATTATTCAAAATACTGAATTCTAGACACTTAAATAGGATATCGCTCTTTAAAATGAGTAAGTTACACCAAAGCTAAATCTCAGATACAGAATTCATTTAAATATATATATTTTAATGCTTTTTTTTTTCTGCTGTAGGTTGCTTCCAAATGGCAAAAAGTGAATTATGTTCTTGTAGATGATTTTATTGGCTCTGGAACTGAGCAAATGTTACTGCTTTTTAAGGATGATTCCTGTGAAGATGTGTTAAGTACATTCAGAATATCAGATTTTGGGGAGATCAACTATGCAGTAAGTTCAGCTTACCTTTTCCCAGCTATTTAGTCTGTGCTTCATTAAAAAAATGAAGATTCTTTACAGCATGTGTGCAGAGTGAATTTCAGTTGTGAATGTGCAGAGTGAATTTCAGTTGTGAATGCCCCAAATTGTTTTTAATTGTGAGATTTGGAGATGACTCTTACATGAAGAGATGATTCTATTTTCTTGACCGCCAATGTTAATTGGTGTTCTTTTAGGAAATTAAAATAACACTATTGAAAATGCTTTGTGTATGTAAAAATTTTGCTACAATATTTTTGGCTAAAATTTGTAATTAAGACTATAGTCAACATTAAATATCTTCCCATAATTGGATCTATTATGTGCCATTGATCTCTGTTTTCAGAAGACAGTAGTTTACCTTTAAATTGTTTATTGTGTGTTTGGTGTGTGTGGTTTTTTTTTTTTTTTTTTCTCTCTCTAGACTTTTATAATGGTGTATTGTAGTCTGCACCTTGCTTTCTACTGTTAATTTGTTTTTTCTTTAGAGTGGCATTAATTATAAAGATGATACTCCCAGAGCAGAAGGCTTGCAAGAGAATAGTTTGCTGACAGTCCAAGCCCTTGAAACAAGATTACAGGTTTGTACTAAATAGTTCTGACTTGATGTTTCCTTCAAATTATCTCTCTGTGTCGTTAATTTTAACCTTGTTGTTTAGATAATTATGTTTTTATTGGAGAAGTGAGTCAGGGAGAAATCGACATTTGTTGTTCTTCCACTTCTGTCATGAAGATTGTCTGCAGTAGTCTGCCTTACCTTGACTGCTAGGAGTTCTATGCAAGTTCTCCTTTGACTCTCTTCTCTTTAAATACCAGTTGGCTTTTACTTGTTGAGTTTTGTGAAACTCTGCCAGGATCAAATGAACCTGCTGGTTCTGCTGAAAACAAGCTGCTGTCTGGAGACTTCTCATGTCTTCTGATGATAAAGTTTTGCTGACAGAGACACAGAGTCTTTCGTAATAGTTGCATCAGATATGTATCATCTAATGTAAGTATCATCGTGTTTCAGGGGTGTTTGTTTTGATGCAATAATGCATGGATCCTACTTAACCTTTGGAAATTTCCAGGCTATTCAGCCTTTAGATGTTTCTTTTGATAGTTATCACTAGAACTCAGGTCTTCTAGGAGTTGTGACTCTATGCTGACTTCTATTTGAAGGCAAAGAAAAAAATAGCAAACAGAGCCCTCTTTCATCCACATGTTGCTTATGTCTAAGTATTTAACATATGTTAAATAGCAGTTTACAGTCAGAGAAGAGCTTTGGTAGGGTTGCATTGTGCTCAGCAAATAAGTAGATGGTATTTAAGTTAAATACATTAATATATCTAAGTTGCATTTTGCAGACAGGAAAGTGGCAACAGCCTAGCTCTGTGTGTGTGTTTTCTTTTTGTTCCTGTTTTATTGTTGGTTTTGTTTTCATAAGGACTGGTTATTTACCATAACACCAACTTTAGCTTAGTGTGGTGTATGTGTGTGGGGGTGTGTGTGTGTGTTTGTTTCCCTCCTCTCTCCGTTTTTCCTGATCTCCCATTTTACTTTTGCTTTTCCCAGTATTTTGGTAGCCTTGTCATTTGCTTTCCTTTGCTAAGGTGCAAGGTTCTTCATGGCTATTAATGAATTTTGCAACTTGAACTTCAATGTGTTTAAAAATGCTTAAAAATACAGGTCTTTTTCCTGTATTACTTTTAAGAGGGAGAAAAGACTGTCAAAAGTCAGACTGGGCAGCAAACATCAATCTGTGAACTTTGGCCTGTTTTGGCTGTTTCTTACCTGTTTTCCTGTTTGTTGATTATACACTCCCACTGGTGAGTAAGTAATGTTTCTATATTCTGACAACTGTCCTTGGGAAAGGGCTTCTCTTTTCCTGTCTTTCTTCTCTATTTTCTTCTCTTTTCCTTCTCCCTCCCCAAGTCCAGCAATACTGCTTGGAATCTAGTACTCTGCAATACATGGTCTGAGATATTTCAGTATTTTTGTCTTTTACAGGCTGGTTACACTTCTATTCGAGAGCTGCAGCACCATTTGAGGCTCAAAAAGAAGGTTATTCTTGAGTCTTGCAGGGCATTAATAGATCTTGTTCAAGAAAGAAGCCATATTCTACCAACTGCGGAAAAGGTAAAATTCAGAAGAGTGCAGATCAGAGATCACTTTCAAATTCTACTGATGCCACCCTCAACTGTTTGTTATTTTCACCAGTAGAGTTAACTACTATCAAAACTCGCTAATTTGCTTCAAATAAAGCCTGGTTCATTATGTTAGCCTGCCAATTAATGTAGAAAGGAGTAAATGTGATTCCTTGCTCGATGCTGATTTGCACGGTGCCTCTTGGCAGCTAAACCAGAGAAGGAGTAGCCTCTAGCAGAGTGAAAAATAGTAGGGGGATTGTACAGTCTTTATTGCACAGCTGCCTGCAAATTGCCTATCGAAATTGTGGTCTAGCATACCAAAAAAAAAAAAAAAGAACTGTGATGTATCTCTGTAAGCAAAATCAATTTATAATGGGGGCAAAGTGATCTGTGGGCTGAGAAGGTAAAATTGTTTGGAAAAATGTCATATCAATCAGTTGCCATATCAGAGGCATCCTAATGTACTTCAGGTGGAGGTGATCTTCATTTTAATTTCTGTTGTGGTCCCTTTCGTGTCAGCCAAGTTCTGACAACACAATCCACTGAGCAATTGACACTATAATTAATAGTTTTTAATACCATTAACTGTTCAAAACAGATTTAAGGTATGACAGGCCAGGATTTGTACTTAACAGGTTTACAAAGAGAGGATGGGTTGCATTTGTCATGATACCACGTACTTTGAGGAAAAAGTGCAATTGTGTTTTGTAGACCTCTTGTGAATGATAAACTAGTTGATATAGCTTTCCTTTTATGTATCTTAAAAGCAGTCCCCACAATCGTTTTGTGGCAAAACACTAAGTAACATGATATAAAAAGAAATAATATCTGCCCTTAATTTGTCTAAACAAACATTTTTCTATAAGGAAGGTCTTGTATCTCTCTGGGATGATACAGAAAATCCTCTCCATTCTCTTAATAAAGAAGCATCGATGACAGCTAAAGTTCCAGAGCACTTTGTAGAGAAATTGTGGCAACGTGTTGTGGATGACAGATTGATAGTTGGAGTAAAACTAGCCGAATCATTTAGCTTGTAAGTATAAAAGCTTATCTAGTAATTCTGCTGCATAGTTCTACAAGCTTTGGGTTGCAGGCTAATCCCTGCAGTAACAACAGGGGAGTTTCTCACTTGAACTATAGTGTTTCACATTTGTATTTTGGCAGTGTTGTTGCTGCTCCTTGCCTCTCTCCATCTCCATGAGAAAAAGGGATTGGGTTATATTGACCAAAAGAGAGAGAGAGAGAAAAAAAATTGTGTCCATATAACAACACTTCTATGCGGGACTCTTTAATGATGGCATTTTTTGTGATTAAAGCCATGCTTCTTTAGACTCCAGATTGACAGGGCTGTGCTGATCTGAATATGTGGTATAGATATAGCTCTAACTGAAATGTTCCTGCTGCTGTTGTGTTAACTTCTTGCTGTGTCTAAACAGAGCGATTTGCTTAAATAAGGTAGAAGAAAACATTTTAAATTCTCTGATCAATTTGATAAATATTTTGCTTTTCAACTGAAGTATGCTACTGTCAGGTATCCAAACAAATAAGGTATTTTCTAAGCTTGTATGTTATGTAGGCTGTGTGAAACACACATGCATGCATTGCTCAAAATTAGTCTTTCCTATGACTTGGTGGTTCACTTTAATTGCTAGATTCCAATAGTGAATGATGTTAAGAACAGATAATGTTCAGCTGACCTTATTTCCCCCAGTGAAGGGGACAGAGATGAATGGACAGAAGGGGCTAATCTGAAAGCAGTTTAGAAAGAAAAAAGACAAACCCAGGGTGTGCATTGCATTTAAACTGAGCCGGAACTTACCTTTTGACCTATATCCCCACAAGCCGTGTAGCTGAGACGGCGTAGGGTGAGCGGCAAGAGTATTGATGCCACTGGAAATCATTCAAGTGATCGTGAGGGAGCTGACCTATTATGCCCTTCAGCCATCCTGCTGGAGCTGCGGGTGTATTATTGCTCAACTGCCAGCCTGCAATAACTTTACAAGAAAGTTGACCTCATCTTCTTGACAGCCCCTTTAAGAGCCACTGAGGCAAGCGATTATGTTTTTTTGTTGTTGTTGTTTTTTGCCTTTTCAGTGTTTATTTTTCAGTTGTGATGGCAATGACTCCTTAAAAGAAAGAAGGAAAAAAAAAAAAAACAAAACCCTAAGCTAATTTCTGTATAGCCTCAAAAATACTCAGAAAATTTGGAACTCTTCTTTAAAAAACAGCAGCAATATTTCACAGCTGAGAAAAGGTCAAGTCATTTGTCAAAGACTACCTTGCAGGCCAGCAGCAAAACCTAGATTTTCTGCATTCCAGTTCCTGTAGTTTGGAGGAAAGGGGCTTTCTTCTACCAACACTTTAAATCTTTCCTGATTTGTGTGTGTGCACGCTTCTTATTAGGGCAAGATTGCTCAGATATATTAGATTGTATTGTTAGTTGGTGACACTTCTCTCCAAAGAAAAGAATTAGACATTTATAAGGCACTCAAGTGTCAGTGACATCTTGAAACTGAATTGACTGACAAAATAAAGTGTTCATTGAAAAGGTAATACTAGGATTTCTTGAAATAACCCGATGTTCACAGAATAAACCACTTCATACAATTCAGGAAATTACTGCACCTTTAAGGTTTTAGAAAATGAAAAGATTTAAAATAGTATACAATTTTGTTTGAATACCAATAGAACAATCTAGAATATCAGAAAAACTGTGTCCTTTTAGGCTTCAAAGCTGGTAAAATTGATACTTTCTTTATTATAATAATACCAAGTCTTTAAAAATAGCTTACAGGTGCCATAGAGCATCCTCATGGGTTATGTGGAATTTGCAGTATTTTTGAGGAGAATTAGCCTCCCAAATTTTAACAGAAATGCAATAAAATTGGACATGTAACACCTAGAAGCTTCTAGAAAATTCACTCTGTATTTCAAAAATCCTAATGCTATGCTTGGATGAAAGAGTTGTTTAAAGTATTTATATTCTTTTGCACAGACTGTGAATTAAAATGGAATGATATTGGTGCTTATGGAAGTATTAAATACTTGTATATATCTGCAGAGTATTTGTCACATGGACTCTCAGTTTGTATTTTGCCAATAATCCCATATCGATTTTCGCAGGTCGCTGAGTGATGTCAGTTTATCCTTAGTAGTGGATCCGGATGTGACTTTGATTTCTCCAATTATTGAGTGTCAGAATAAAATCATTACATTGAACAAGGCTTTTTCAGCATTGGCTATCTCTTCATGTCAGATCGAACCACCTCCAAAAAAGATGAAGCTGGACTTTGATAGCAAGAATGATCTGGAAGAAGACCTTCATAAGAGAAGTTTGAAGAATCAATTGGACAGAGCAAAAACATTTATTGCTGTTACCAGCCTTTCACCGTTGTTGGCATTTCATAGTGTACGCTGCACGGTTCTCCTACATGCGAAGAAACCAAAACATCAAAGGGATGGTTTACAGAACAGCAAAAAGATTACTTTACTGTGTGGGAAAATTCTGTTAAGTCTGGAAGATATCTCACAGGGAAAATATTCAGTGAAGATGTTAAGGGATAATAGTTACTGTACAGGTAAAAGAATTGATGCAACTTGAGTTAGTATTATCTAGAATAAAAATAAGAATCATATTCCTACTAAGCCTAGCTTTCTGTGCTATAATCTTATCTGTCATCTCTACCACAATCTGGATAAACCAACAGCTGGGTAAAACAAGAGAACATTTTTCAGTTTGGAAAATTCTTCCAGTTAAGTGAGTTGCTTTAAGGTTTTGTGCTAGCAGCACAGAGATGTGCCTGGAGAGGTAAATTTTGAAGATAAGTCTGAATATAGAATGCTGCAGCCTATTTAAATTTTCTTTATAAATGGGAAATTTACTGTTGAATAGATGTATGCTTATTTTATGACATAATATTGCTTTAATAATGGTAAAGCAACTGATGTTTTTGTCATCTGCACAACTCTAAATTAGTTTATTTTTATTCTTGACTGAAGTGACTTCTCACTAAGCTTCTTCTAGTGTGTTCAACTGTTCTCTTGATTGTCTGTTGTAAATTTTAATTTCTTTCTGACTGCTGTATCATTGCCTAAAGCCAACATGTCATCGTAGTATTGCAGGAGGCTATTTGTTATTATTATTATTTTTTGGCAAGGTGACTTTTATCTTCAGACTTCTCTATGTAAGTGGGGGCTCTGTTAATCGGTTAGTCATTTTGCTTGACAGCAGAGATGTAGGAATAGGTGGGAAAATTCCCGAAGGACTGAATGCTGAGATGTAGACTCGTGAAGAAAAAACAGAAGTGTATGCGATAAAACAGTTCAGATTTTTTTGCTTCATAACACAATCAAAATATTTAGGTAAAACTTTTTTTTACTTCACTTTCTTGCAGGTTCCTTGGAAGATATCCTTGCTGTCCTTGCAGCATCTATCAGGTTCTCCTTTCAGATTGTGTCTTCTGAGTACACTTTAACTCCAGTAAATTCCTGGTTATTGGGAGAAATGGAGTGTACACCATTTAAAGAATACCACAAAAACCTGGTCTGTCAGAGAATGGGAAATCTACATGGCACAGTTCTCAGTTGGACACAGAAATCTCCATTTGAAGGAGTTCTAACCTTGTTTTGCAGGTAGGGTTAGTCTAAAAGTGTAGAGATTCTTTTGTATAAACTTTATATTTACAGTGGTTCTTAGTATTTTTCATAACCAATATCCAAGCAGCCATATTTTTAAATCCAAGCTATTAGAATTGCATTGTTAAATTTTTGTCCATGCCAGAACACTGTATTGCATTTCCATTGATATTGGCAGTTTATGAATATGTGTCTCTTGTTTTGTTTTTCTGGTCCCTACATGTAAACATCACCACAGGACTCTTGTACTATCATACATGTTCTTTATGTACAAACACTTGCTTCTTACAAAAACAGATGATACTCATGTAACCCTAACAGTGAGCATATATTTCATCTCAGACTACTTCTATTGCTGAGTCTCGTTTAGCGTCTTTTCCTCTCTGCTGTGGCTATGAGCGCTCCATAAAAAGTAATTGCTTGCTCTTCTGTGTACAGTATGTATAATAGCAAAAACCAAAACCAACCTAAGTTCTTTCATTGTTATATAGACTATAGAATTTTGAAAATGCAAGGGAGGCTTTACATAACTTCATTGACAATATTCTTATTTTGCAGAAATATGAGTGTCCTGTTCCAGTGCCTTCATAGCCTCACTGGAGCTCTGCCACCAAGCACTGATATAAGACTCTTGAGGTCTGGAAGCAAAGATAGACTTACTGACCAGTTAGCACTGGCTTTGGAAAAAGAAGTGCTCATCTCCAGGAATTCTTTCTCCTCAAAAGAAAATGAAGTTGAAAAGAGTGGGACATGGGGCAAGAGGACTAGCAAGAAAATCAGTGATGCTCCTGTGGCTCCTTTCCTGGACAGTAAGGAAGGAGTTCAGCAATTCCGAAAGAAGCTTCAGCATGAACGGGAAGAGAGTATTCTAAGTATGAATCAAGCAGTGAATGGTGCCCTTTATCAGAAAATGGCTTTGAAAATGGCAGAGGCTCAGCTGCATTCTGATATGATCGTGTGGAGACTGAGCAGATCCTAGAGACTATGCTCTCAAAATTTATTTTGAATGAAGTTTTAATAAAATTATACTATACTATTATGAAATAGTATTTATACTTTCATAGAGTTGTATGAACAAGTATCTTTATTCTATAACCCAGCTCTTTCTAGGGATGAAATTGTATTTTGGCTGATGATTTGTACCTAATTTAAGAAGAAATTAATATTAAAAATAGCTGTTTTATCCTTTTTTATCTGTTATCTTTTTTAGGCTACTTTTTAATGACTTTGGAATAAAAGTCATAGCTCTTGAATGATAAATAACTGCTAAATTTTAAATTTTAGACAAGTGCTGTTTAAAATAGTGCCTTTAAACTTGTAAGCTGGCTGTTCACTCAGGCAACAAACAACTTTTTCAGAAATCGTAAGACTAAGCTATAACAAATATTTGTTAAGCACCTTCTTTAAATTTGGAATTGGAGAAGAGGGTTCAAGAAATTCATAAAAGCAGCATAGAAACAACTTGTCTCATTATTTTAAGTCTTGGAAATAACCTAGACTTAGTAGTACCACTTTAAAGAAAAAAGTAGGATTGGACCTGTAATGCTCTTTTCTCTAGCGCACTCTGAGCTCTGAGATATTTTGAAAGATCTGTTGGGCTTGGAGAAACTAGATCAGGCCTGTTGCAAGAGGTCAAGCAACTCCCCACTGTTTGCTATTGCAAGAGATCTACCCCCCAGCATTAATCCCAGGGGTAAATCCTGGAGGAGACTGTTCTTCCTTGGACCTTAACCCACCTCCTGCCCACCGGTTTGCTTGCTCACTCTGAGTCCTAAACGAATTATCTGTTGAGACTTGGCTCTTTGGCAGTTTTGATCTGTCTCAAGTACATTAAATAATGGACAACTCTGTGCCTGTTTTTTTCTCTCTTCTCTGCTTTAAAGAAGATACCCTCTGCAGAGGGTATTTCTGGGAAGAGAACTGCCCAAAGTCTTGCAGCTGCTCCTCTCTGACATAGGTGATGGTTTGTTCCTTTTTCTCCCATCATGGTTATGTTAATTTCTGCCATTTATGACACTTTATTAAAAAAAAAAAAGATGCAACATCTAAAAGAAAGCAATATCTCCTTTATGTAATCACCACATTCCTGGTTTTTGTCAGCATTTTTATAAAGATGTCAGAATTTTCCTTTTCACTTTTCCTGTAAATAAAGCTTTAATTGTTAAAATAGTCAGTTATGCAGTCTGATAAGAGTTTGGGAGGAAGAAGATAAGCTGTTTGCTGACTTAAAAGATTTACCTTTTAAACTGATTCTCCATGTGCATTTTTTTTAACAGTACAAACTTTGCAAGAGGAAAAAAATGGTAAATGAGAAAACATTCAACTAGTGATTGTAGTCTTTTGAGATATTCAAAAGCATTCGAGTCTCCATTTTTGAATATATGCAAGGGAAGCTTGCATGAAAATTTCAAGGCTGCCTTAAGAAATGGCCACAGATATGTGAAAATGCTATTATTCACTGTGTGCAAAAGAATAACAACCAAAAAAAAATACTTCTGTTCATCCCAGAGTCAAAGTTAAGAGTTTTTTTAAGGACTTGGCATTTAATTGTCCCTAAAATTTTCTGGAAAAATTATCTTCTCATAAACACTTTTAAATGATGGGAAGAATTTCAAAGTGTAACCCTCAAGCTTGCATTTAACACTAGCCTGATAAACCAGATGAGTAGAAACTTTCAGAGCAACTCAACTGCTTTTCAGCCCAAGACACTTGACTGTGTTTATGCAAAGCACTGTAAACAGTCCAGCAATTTTTTATTATTATTATTAGCACTCACTTAACTACCTATTAGAATGCCGTAATTAACCTTAATATGGTCATCCATCTCTAAAGAGAAACTTCCACTGGTATTCTTATCCCTTTTATTAAATTAGTAAAGCAGACTGAATGCATAAAAGCTACTAAAGAAGTTGCCCATTTCTACTTTCTTGGAGTTTTGATGTCACTTGTCTTATTGAGAAGTAGCAAACAGAAACCGTGGAAGGGAGAGAGTCACACACTTATTAGAGTAGAATAATAAGTCCTTCATTAACGTGTTCCTATCAGAGTTTTTCCAGGGTTGTGAAAGCTCACGTTGCAGATCTTTGTCACACGAGATCATTATAAACCTTCCATTAGGAAGGTTTATTATTAGCCCGGGAGGACTCCTGCCGATGATTTTCCACGGGAGCAGTAATGGGTGATGACTTGGCACAAGTTGCATTCGTAGTGGTGCTAGCGGTATATATGCTGGAATGCACAGGAGACGTTGACAGCACTGAGAATATCCCTCCATGTGCCAAAATCTGAGTGGCCTCCTAGAAATGTCTGGGGGGGATAGGGTCGCACCTGTGTTCTTTTAGGCCTTAGATCATGAAGAAAGGGAGCTAGTTTGAACACGGGTATTTCATGCTCTGCAGGGTCTCTTCTTCACGCTGTCTGCAATGGGAATTTGTTTAAAGGTATGTGCTTCACTATTCAGAGGTAAAAGCAACTAAAGAAGTTAACTTTCAGTTTATTTAGGCTATCATGGTGATTAATCTTGGCACATGCTGGTGTTCAAATGGAGAATCCAAATTGTATTGACTAAGAAAACTACTTAGGTTGGTTCAATATGTTTCTATCACAAACAGCTGGAGTTCCATTTTCTAAATTTCCATACCGTGGGCTCTGAAAGCATTTTCTGAGCAAGTCATTTGAAAAATGAAGTCAATTAATGGCAACAGCAATCCGAGTTCCTGGGGATTGGTGTTGCCCAGAAATACCTGATAAAATTGTTGAGTGCTTGATTGTTGTAGATCCCCTTTTCCCTGGTAGCGGATTGAATCCAGGGAGGCACAATAACAACCAGGAGAACGCTTTTTGTTAATAAAGCTGTTCCTGATAGCAGGTACCGGTTTCACACAACATATTCCCACACACATTTGCTTGTAATTACCTAGTTGAAGCAACAGCTAAGAAATCCATCCCAAGCTCTGGCGCCTCCAGATTCCAGGTGAATGTTCAGGAAGTCCCTCCAAGGACCCTTTACTTTATTGGCTGTGTTTATATATTCCTGTGGTCTTTGCACAGAGCACTCTCAGCCAGGTCCGAGTTCCACAACCCTGTGTTGATGCCTGTGTGTGCTAATGCCTTTGTATACAGCCAGCAGGCTCTTGGTGTCCTGAAGTAATCAGTTCTTGTGGATTTAACATTTAACACTTTTTTTTTCAGTTGTATCAGTTTCTGTGAGATTTTCACAAATTGTCGTGCTTCAGAGTTCCTTTTGTGTCCGTCAAAACACTTCTAAAGGTGATTTAAAGTATACAGAGAGAGGTTGTATGTCAGAGATTGCCTCTCTCACTCTCAGGCCTTTCAGGAAAAACCTGTCTGCTCTGAAGTATTCCCTTTGTTGGTCAGGCCTTTCAGGAAAAACCTGTCTGCTGTATTCCCTTTGATGGCTAGTAGCAATTCCATTTTATATAACCTCTCATTTTCTTTATAATCCACTACAGATTGCTGGACTGTTTATGGTAGCAAGAGTTAAGCCTCCTCCCTCAGCTACTGATTTGTTTCTCCACAGCTTGTGACAATCTTGGAACCATGGCAGTCTCATGACTGTTCTTTTTGAATCATGCTGACTGTGATAAGGAGACAAAATAATGTTAGTGTATTTATCCACGAATAAGGGACTATTGACCGACTGTTAAAGAAAAAAGGGTAGGGATAGCAAGAGGACAAGAGGAGTATCCATTTTTTTTTTTCTCCTCACCACCCTCCTCTCCCAAGAGAGTTGAAATTTAGAGGAATGGAAGCTAAGTGTTTGTGCAAGGATTAAAAGACTTAAACTTCAGCGCGAGATAGGTTTCTGCATTTGTTCTCATTTGCTTGTGTTTTGGTTTGGTTTTGGCTCCTTTCTAGACATCCTGCAGGGTGGGAATAAAGTGATGATCTTGATTCAGGACAGGAGTTTCAAGGCAAAAGAAAGTCCTGCCAAATGCTCCTAGGGAGAGGAAGAAGGGGAGGAGCTTTAACACTCCTGTTTAGTCTTCTTAATAATTGCTTGTAGAAGAGGATATCACTTTGGTCCTTTGGACCTAAGGTTTCTGGTATGTGACAACCTTTCATGTATTGAGAAATCCGTAATTTATAGGTACAAGATGGCAGCTGTGCATTTATAAAGCATGCAGAACAAGAACTGCTTCAGTGACTGCTTCGTGTTCCTCCAGCCCCTGCTTCAGATCCTGCATTCACAAAACCGTGTTGCTTAGCTGTGGTATTTAGGTCAAATCCACAGCTTGTTAAAGCAGTCTCAGGTTAACGAATACTCCTTCTCCTTGTCTAAATGGGAAGATGATGAATCACCTGCCCAGCTGCAATCCCTACGTATGCAGAGTAATGTTTGTTGTTTGGTAATTGTGTCTGGTAATTCTGCCTTTGAAGGGCTCTCAGGTTTGAGGAGAAACAGAAGTTGCAAAAACTTCCCAAGCCCCTCCAGCTAGTGGGACTCTACTGTTCCTCCCATGACAGACTATGTCTATGGGTGCATCTTGAGAGCCAGTATACTTGCTTCTCTTTCCTTCCACAAATGACCAAATACTTGAGACCAAAAAAAGAGACATTTTTATAATGCAAAAATTAACTTTACCTAGTTTTGTCAGGTGCGAAACAGGTATATTTTCCCTCTTCACAGAACATAACAGTTAAATAGGAAACCCTGCAGATAAAAGGCATGTCCCTGATGCAAAACACGCCTTGATAAAGTTTTTGAGTGCCTAGGGCCCTCAAATAAGCGATTGCAAAATGTAGAAAAAAACATTTCCTTTCCCTGCTCCCACTCCTCACTTTCCACCCTGCCCCAAGCTGAGAACATCCTCACATGTTAAGGTCATAAATTTTGTACTTTTTCTTAAGACTTCAGTGATTAAGGCTCATTCTTAATTTAACTCAATTCATCTCTATTAGTGGTTGGCTTTAATAACCATTTTAAGTTTGCTTTCATTTCGCTGCTTCTTCACCTCA